GAAATAAATATTTGTTAAAAACGTTGCATCAGGAGATAGCAATGCAGTTTTCTTTTAAAATATATATACGTAAACATATATTAAGTAGTTCGTTTTAAAAAAAACCACGTGCTATTTTTACCTGACCACGATTTTTTTAAAGCACATAAATGTGAGTATAAGTGTGAGCATTAATACGCAAAAAAAAAGTATAAATTGGCAGTGAACACGCCCCAATCGTTGACGAAAAATAATCTATTAAAGTGACTAGTAACATAATGTTTGAAAACAAACTTTACTAAAATAAAAAAAAAAGTGTCCAAGAGTACGGATCGTTTAATAATTTATACTTAATACATTTTTTTTTATTTAGTCAGAGTACAAATAATTGCGATTAGTCTCTCATAACTGAGATAACGAATTTTTGACAAAGTAAGCAATAATTAATTAAGTATAATGTAATTAATTAAAAAAAAAAAAAAAAAAAAAAAAAAGTAGGTAAATATTTGATACAGATACTAGACGCTGTTTATTTAAATAAAAATTTAAGTCATTCTTGACCTCAATGCAATCAGAGCAAAAATTTTTTTAGGCCAAACAAATGCCGACACGATGCTTTTTATTGATATTATTATTTGTGATACTAAATTTATTAATATGGTAATTTTGTATGTGTGTTTTTTAATATTTTATAGCTAGTGAACATCGACAATGTAAACGTGAAAAATGGGTTCATCAATGCGTCATACGGCTAACACTAATTTTTCAGTACATATTCCAAGGCTGTCTTAAGTCAACGCCTTTGCCATATGCACACAGCCTGTTAATATATTATATAGATGTATATGTATATTTAAAAAAAGTAAAAAACGTTTTTAAGATGAAGAATAAGGAGAAGAGGCAAAAATGCTAAACCTATCGAACAAAGAAAAGCGCATCCGGCCTGACACTTTGTAACGAGAGACTTTAGTCTATTTTTTTTTTTTTTATATTGGCGATATTATTTTACATTATTAATTATTATCATTATTAATTTAATAATTTAATATAAGAGTTGTCTATTCGCTCTAATTCGTGTCTCCCTCTGTGAAAGTATAATCTTTATCGGTTATATTGGTTTATAAATTTTTTGCGTAACCACATTACGCGTTAAGAATGATAAAAAATGAACATATATTAAATGAATATAATATATAAGTTGGTTGTATATAATGAATAGGAGAAAATAAAAAATTAATGTACGGATATATATATATATATATATATATATATATATATATATATATATATTCTTATGTATGTATATATTTCACGCCTCAGAAGCATTTATTTCTGTCAGATAACGTCAAAGAGTGTATCGCGCTGAGCCGTGCTCTATTTTTGCAGAGGTTGCAGAGGTTTCGGAGGATTTGAAATGCCAGAGAGCAAATAGATAAATTTCTTTAAGAGCAAGACATCCTAAGTGTGAGAGCTGTGAGTGGAAAAATAAAAAAAATTGCAATGAATTTAAAGACCGAAAAAATTACTTTAAAGTAAAATAATATATGTTTAATTATTCGGAATAATAGATAAAAATTCTAAATATATATATTGCGTGCGCTGTATTTCGATATAATAGACGAGTGTTGGCGAAAAATAATCAAGATAACGAATAGAGAACGACAACCTTTGATATCGCGTTTGAAATTTGCCAAATATCTGACTGATAAAATTTCTTTGTCAATTCTATTAATCACCAAGCTAAAGTCTACAGTTATTATATGTTTTTTTTTTTTATGTCGCCTATATTTATTTTAATATTTAATATTATTTTTTTTTTGTTTAATGAAATCACCGAATCGTATAATGGACGAATGTTAAAAAAGAATGACGTACCAAGGCCATGGTATTTTTATTTACGGGCCAATGTTTAGTTGGCAACGTTCAATGCAGATATAGACAGACCTTGAATTTCGCGGATAACATCTGCTGTCTTATCAACGCCCCTTGATAACTTTAGCAGTACTAACCTAGCATAAGCCAGGCGTTCAAATATTAATCGACGGGCCAGACCGCACCTGAATTTACACAGTGTCTCGAAATATGACGCTACTTTTTTTATTACTTCGTTTTATTAATAAAATTATCTCAACTTTCTTAACTTCATAGAAAAATTTATTCTTAACTCGATAAAAAATTTTTTTTTTACTTTGAATTATTATTTTAATAAAAATAATAAATAATTATTATTATTTTTTTTCTTAAATAGATTAAAAGAATAAATTTTTTTCTTTATCATTTACTAAATGTATATCAGCAAAAAGTGATCTAAAAACCTTGGTCATAAAATCGCATTAAGAAATGGCGTTATTATGTAAACAGAATAAAGAGAGTATGCACGGTGTCATCTCGTGATTATACCATTTCACCAACAGACTTGTCGTTATCTCGCCTAAACTATCACTCAAGTTACGCGAGACACTCATATTTATCCCACAATAAACGGCCATAAATTAACCACTAAATTCTCTAAATAATTAATCAAACGCTCAAATTCAGTTTCATCATCCAGACTCAGCCTTCTATTTATAGTAATGATAATAACAACAATAATAATAATAATAAAAAGATAGCCACAATAGCAACAAAATTAGAAGAAATTTAAAAAGGAAACTTTTTATAAAGGAGTTATTTCACGCATTTAATCTTATCCTTTTTACGATCTTCGTTATCTTAGTTGTGATAATAAATATTATCCAAGTTAACAAACAATAATAATAACAATAATAACAATAATAACAATAATAATAATAATAATAATAATAATAATAATAATATTTTTGTTAATAATAATTATTTCAAAAAAAAATTTGTGTTTTGCGTAGACACAGTACACGCCATAAAATAAGGATTTAGGGTAATACCCATTATCATTTTTTAACAGATCAAGTTATAATAATAAATCACTTGAGTAGGTGAAAAATAAAAAAATAACAACATTGTTGATAACTAAGACCTATCACATCCTTTTTACGCTTATAATAAAAAAATATTCCCGGCGGTTTTATCGTAATCATAATAAATAATAAAGACTTAAGACTTATTTTTATATATTTAATTTAACATTTATAAATAACTAAGTAATAAAAAGCGTAGCCATTGAATTCCTAACGTTTCAATAAATAAATGATAATTATAATAATAATAATAATAATAATATGTATAAAATATATATACATATATATGTATGTGTGAATTGACTAGTTAAATGCGATTAAACGGCCCTGACTTACCAATTGCGCGAAAGCATTTAGATCTATCACCTTCGGTAAATTAAACAGTAATGACTACAAACATTTATACAAAACTGACATGGTGTGAATGTACAGTACGAATACACGATACGATTGATTAAAAGTCACTGTCATAACTATTGTGCTATTAATTACTAATAATATATTTTATATAATTAATAATTAATAGCAAATAAAATAATAATAACTGTTTTATTTTTTTTAAAAGCGACGATTTTAATAGATATTAATTATTATAATATTAATAATAATAATAATGTTGGATATGTTTGATGTCAATGAGTATGGAATGTCAGCCTACCGTTTAGCTACACGTTTTTTTTAGCATTATATGAATTTCTATTTATAAAAATACTTTTACTGGATTTATGTTTTCAATTTGTTCTTTCTTTCTTTCTTTTTATCGTTCTTTCTTTCTTTCTTTCTCTTTAACGGTCATGTGTCATAGAGGTGACGTTCATAACGGTCAATATATTGTACAGTGATGCCAAACTCTTCATTCATTTGTTCATTTCTTGGTCAATTAACGCCAATTGGTATGATAACGCGAACTTGGTGGTTCAATGTCGATTGGGGGTTTGTATTCGCAACACCCGATAAGATTTTTCCAATAGGTCACATATTTTGTGGACTTGGTTATTATTTATAAATTGTCTTGTTTCGTTATATTACTTAATTTTATTAAATTTAAAAATTTTTTATCAAGTACGTTTAGATTAATTTTTTTTTCTGGGTCTAGATAAATATTTATTCAATTTTTTTTTTGTTCAACGACCTTGATCACGATTTTAAATTTCACCCATTTTTAATTAACACTCGTGAGATAAAAAATTTAATTTCACTGTGATTTTGATAAGCCGAAATATTTATAAGTAATTATTATTATTTTATATATTTATTAATAGTGATATGTCGTCACGTCACCACCAAGTTAATTTATAGTCATATAATCACAATGATAATAATAAGTAATAATAAAATGATTAATTTGGTAATAAATTTTTGTACTATAATAATGAATTTTAATGAAATGCGATGTCATGATACTTGTTAATGAAATAATATTCATATACAAGAATAGAAAAATGATGATATCGATGATTGATTTGGAAACGCATGCCAATTAAGAGAAAATTTAATTTTACAAGCAGACAGTAGTGCTTTATTCACCGCAACCAATTATTAAAAATATAATAATTAAATTAATAATTTAAAAAAAAATTTTGTAGTCGTTTTTATAAAAAAAAATTTGTTTTCATATAATATATATTTATAATATATATATAACAACAATTATTTATTTGTTAGTTTGATATAACTGCACAAGTCGTAGTGACCATCAGACCGAACCATTAAACAATAATTAATAACGACAGGTGAATTTACTATTTAATTATACTAAATAATTATTACTTTAATCTAACCTGTCGTGCAGTACAGCGGATATCAATTAAGAGAGTAAAATAATTTTTATTTATTTATATTTTAATTTATTAAAAATAGTGTAGCGAGGAGTGCCCTTGGAAAAAATCAAAAGAATGCAACTAACTTTTTTTATTGCTTGATATACTTGTACGTATATATCTGATATTTATATTTATACTGATATTGATACTGATATTTATGTATACTTTTAATTCATTTATATCATTTATGTAACAATAAACGTTTTTGTTAACCGTCGTAACCTCGATGTGACACACGTAATAACGAGGAGGAAAAGCAATACTACAATAGTATATATTTTTTCGCTACACCCTTGCTAAATAATATTCTTGTGATTTTATAGGGCAATGAAATAAGATAATTAAATAGGTGGTTCTTACCTTGTGAAGTCCCAGCTAAATCCGGCGTCTGTAATCCATGGCTTAACCCTGAAAATTTAACTGTCGTTAAACGTAGAGACCTTGGCTCTTACTTAGATTTTTAAACAGGGGCCTGTACGCAATTTCGCAATCACAATTAAACTTTATTTTATTTTAAATAATAATAATACTAATCCATACGTCAGTCGTGTCAAATCATTCAATTTTTATCTGGAGACACTAATATAATAGATGATAATTTTTTTTTTATTTTTCAGTCGTTATTTATTTATTCTTTAATTATTTACGAGTTTTTATCAATGGCTAGTGGAACTTTTGGAGGAACGCGAGCCCGATTATTATATTATATTAAGAATATCCGCTTACTTAAAAAAAATACTCGTTAGAATAAAGAATGGCTTTATTGTATTACTATACTGGTTTACGACGTTATTTATCAAAGCGACACTGTTTAGTTATTTTGTCAATGCTTTTTTTTTTTTTTTCTACGTCCTCATCAGTTGCAATGTGATACTACTCGAGTTGTTTAGAATCTAATTTATTTATTTTAACTTTCAAGTCTAATTGTCATAAAAATAAAAAAAAAAAACTTTAGAAATAAAAATTTTTTCCTCGCAGTAAAAATACTAAAAAAATATTTTCTATCATATTAGTAACTCAAAAAATAACAAACAAAAAAATAAACAAAATCATAAATTGGTCTGTGCGTAAAGGCCAAAATAAAAGGTGCTAAAAAGTAAAATAAACTCACCTGATAGCGGATTGTGATCGGTAGTAAGCGCAGCCATACTGAAATTAAAACTTCCAGGCGTGGATGTGAACAATTTGCTATCGGGTAAATAGTTTGGCGTTGAAGGATGTTCCGGTTCGTGGTCATGTTCATTACTACTCGCAGAAGCTGGTGGCCGGTCAGAGGCCGCGGCTCCGGAGTCTGAAGAGTCCTCGTTGTGGCCACCGGTACCGCCGTTTCCTCCGGTCAATTCCAGGGGCTCGCACTTAATGTTGTCCTCTATACGGCTGTTTTCGTCATGCAAACCATTGCCCTCGACTTTCGCTGACAAGTGGTTCTTTACCATTGAAAAATCCGTGGGCGTCGCGTCGTTGTTGTTGAGCGGTGGTGAAGGTACTCGGGAACGCTTTATAGAGTCATCATGCTCATCAGGTGTACGCCTCTCGTTTCTACGTATTTGTGCGCGTCGCAACAACTGCTGTACTGTTGTTGGTGTCGGGGTGTGTGGAGTCGGTGGAGAACCACCACGTGGGAAACCCTCGTCCGACAACTTATCATGGGGTGGTACATGATTTGTGCGTGCTGCTAATGCACGCACTTGTGATAACTGGATTTAACAGAACAAACAGTCAAAATAATATCCCAAAAGTATTTTTTTTTTTACTCTACTAACAAATTTTTATTTGGTATTTTATTTTTTTATAAAGAAATTGCATTATATTAAAAAATAAACCAAATTTAATTATTTTTATCACTTTCTGCTTGACCTATGACAATCTCGAGAAATTTAGCGATTAAAGGGGGCAGGATCAAGATAACATACTTTTACCAAATATAATTTAAGCTAATCGCTTAATATTGATAATTATTAGACACATATTATCAAAACTTATCAATTTTTAATTAATAAAAAAATTAATTTAAAAAAACATTAATTATCTGGAATTTAAGGGGAATACAATAGAAATAACAAGTAAAACTCGCAATTAAATGAATTGAGGAGCTGATTTTCAAAAGGGTATCTTTTAATATTTCAAAAGAGCAGTTTTTTGAACTTGTAAATAATATTAATTACTTCGAGAATTATAAAGATTTCTAAATGAAAATCAAATTGTAGCTTCATAACCGATAGCACTTTATAGTTGAATTAAAAAAAATCAATAAAAATATTTATAATTGAAGATAACCAATTTTTTGTCTCGATTAATTAAACCGAAAAGATACCCTTTTGAAACTCAACTCCTCAATTAAAGTAAGCAGCAACATATATGATAGTGTGAGTATGTACATTAGTTACCTCATCTCGTTCAGTTGAATCGGCTTGTTGTGTAAGACCCGACACCCTCAAAACCTCAGCAGTCTTGAGGAAACTACTGAGAGATCGCTGATGTACATTAACTTCCCCGTGATAAATGAACTCAACTAATGCGTGTAAATCACTAAATGTCACGTCCTGAAGTACTATCACCGGATGTTTGCACGGTGTACTCTGTTATACAAGTGAATAAACACACACATATATATATATATATATATATATATATATATATATATATATATATATATATATA